AAATTAGGCCCATCCTTATGGACAATACATGAAGCAGAGAGACCGGCTTCCACCTTCAAATTGAGGGCTTTGAAATTGTCAAGTGTGATATCTTGTGGCTTCCTGATGGATGCTAGAATATCATGAACCTGCCGCAAAGACGCCTCCGGATCATCATCTGTGGCATCAGGGAGCTTATATGCTGGGAAGTCCAAAGGTGTTGGGCGCGATGGAGCTCGTCGCTCCCTGTCAGGCTCTGAGTTCACTGACGGGAAGCCTACCACAATGGTTAGCCCGGCAATTTGACTTGACAAACGTCAGGATTTTGGTTGTATTTGGTTATTAAAAGGGAGCGCGATGCGGATATTTGGTCTCGATGGCAAACCCGAGTATTTAGATGGATAGACTTCCCCCATAGCTTAAAAGAGCTGTGAACGAGGCAGACAGCCGATACTTGCTGTTCTAACATAGAGCGAGCAGCGGATCGTGGCACACCAGTTCAGAATATTAGGCGGGCGGACATTCGTATACCATAAGCCCACACAGCTGCTGCGTCCGCAATTGGATCATGTAGGGCATATACGGTGGGAAACATAGTGCGCGGGGTGAAGCAGGGTGACAATGAAAGAGGGGAAGCCTTACCCAGCGAACTACACCATCCGAACATGATACGAAGCTTCTAACTAGTGACAAAACACTACTTCAGGTGAGAAACAAGATCAAGCAAGCAATAGAAACTTGATTTAGTGTTGGTTTGAGGTGAACGAGGCCGAATAATCACATCGCATGCACAACCGGTATGAGGGCTTGAGGGGGTCAGGTGCGGCGGGGGTTTGGTTAAGGATAGGGGCCAAAAGGTAGTGGAAGTGTGGGCCAGGGGCAAAGTGACATAGAAGAACCAACCGTGGAATAGAGTAAGATCCAACCAAACAATGAGAATCTTGTTGTGGTAGGTTTTTTGGTTGGAGAAAGATAATCTAACAGAAAAAGGGAACAGATGGCACGGAGGGGGCCGAAGTAATGGGCCGTTAATGCTTATGGCCTACTTCGGCTTGGGCGGTTTGCTAGTAGTATGCGGGAGTGCGGATTAGTTCGTCTCTAGTACTGGCGGTTTTTTCGTGGGATAAGACAACATTGGGGTTTACACGATACTTCGTCGTTCACTACTGGTGATTAATTAATAGCATGAGCCCTGACATGGCAGGTTTTATCGCTATCCGTTGGCCACGCCAGTACAATGTATGGAACAACCCTCGGGACAATGATCATATATTAGAGAAAAGACCAAAAAATGGCGACCACGACCTGTTATATTGCTTGGATTGTATTGTGCCAAGTACGTAAGTGTTATGCAGCCTTCCATCCAAGGTAACCTTTGGGGACAACTTCTCCACCGCGACTGTTATATGGCCGCCAATGGTGGCTGATAACCGGACAAATCGGGTGGAGTTTTAGGGAGTTTTGAGTTGATCCCTGTCCTAAAATTTCGACAGGCCGATGGAAGATGTGTCGAGACTCGATGCTGCTATGTACAGAGAAGGTAATGCTGCGCTCTGCATGTCTCTGATCAAATCCGAACGCTCAATGGTTGAAATCCACCGTCCTTGAGGTGGAGGGCAAAAGAATCATTCATTTTACCGGTGGATTAACTATGGCACACACAAAGGTCAAGCGGTCGGCAAGAGTCGGGCCGAGAGAGAAAGAACTACGGTTAGTTAACTCGTTACGGAGTACTGTTAGTTAACTAGTTGACAGACAAAAAGAAAATCTGAGTCAGCAGAATTGCTTGGTGCACATGACATCACCTGAAAGCCGTGATGAGACTAGTCTTCAAGGAGCCTAATAATCCAATGACCCCACTCCAAACTGGCTGCGATTTGCGACTTGCAAATGCAAAGGCAAATGGCACTGCAATGCAAATGAACTTCCTCCTCTCCTCGTCTCCCTTCGCTTCTTTTCTACTAGTTCAATTGCCGGTCGCAATCTCGGGTCACACCTGCATTAATTAACCTTCCGCCGAGGATGCGGTTGACGCTGACACTGACCATCCAGCTTTCTTACCTCAGAAGGATCCATGTTTCTTCACTAACTCGTACCCCTTCACTGTTTTGTTAGCGAGATCGGGGGCTGGGGGCTTAAACTTCCCCTCCCCCCCAACACAAGTGAGACTAACGGCGCCCAGGTCGCAATGTCACAGACCCCTTCTGTGAAAGGGATTGGATGTTTTGGATGGAAAGTGTTTCAGCCTTTCCTCCGATGCGAGTCAACAGCCATCCATCCCCTGCGTAAGCTTCACCGAAATAATGTTTTCCAGGTCTCTCTTTTATTGAATGTTATGTTATGGTCGATCCACGTTTGGCTACAAACGCCCGGCTAACCTCGAGTTTCAATTCAAAGTTGTTCCTTTTTTTTACTCTCTTCTCTTGGACTTGGTCATATTTGTTCTATCTTCTTCCGTATTCCTCGATCGATATTGGTGTGGTTGACATCCCACCTTCACTAGAGACTGCTTCACTATCCTCGCCTGAAACGGGAGGCTTCCACGCGAGTGAACGTCTCTGACACCTATTGTCATGGCTTGTTTTCTGCAACCTGTAGAGAGAATATCATACTGAGAAGAGCCTAATATGCTTGCATCTGTCTTTCCTTATTCATAGTCCTGGGTCCTCGTCGGTTACACGTTCCTTTCGGTCGATTTTCTGATTGACATCGCTACTCACCGTCATACGCGCTGTCCTTGCTGATAGCACTCGTTCCTTTCCTTTCACTCCTGTATTATTTGACGCACTACCCCGTGCCTTTCCTGCCCTAGCAGAACGGTGGTCACGTCCCTCTAGCCGGCGGGCTTGACGACATGTCAATGTCCAGTCCTTCCATTATCTTTTATCAGGGCTTACGATGCACTAAAGTCCCGCGAAGATCAGCAGCGGCTGTATCTCCTTTTAGCAATCTCTCAACCTCGACTTCTTCCCTGATAACTACAACTTCGACCGACGGACCAGTCTTATTTACAGATCCATCACCAACCGTTGAGACCTCCCCATTCAATGAACCTACTACTACGTTAAGTACATCGCAATCAACGGCGTCGGAATCGAGTACAGAAACGCCTAACACGGTGCCAACGCATCTACCACCCGTCAGCTCTTTCGTCATCACCACTACAGTTAGTGATTCATATCCTTCGATTACCGAGAGTTCTTCGAGGACATCCAGTCTAGTGTCGTCTTATGGTGCCAGTTATTCAACGCTAGAGCCAATTGCGTCAAGCTTGCCTAGCACCTTCTCGAGATCGAGCTCCACAGAGGCTATCCTAACGCATGTCTCCCGTACAAGCGGGCCTTCAACGGCGGCAACCTCGACGGCAACGGGATATGTCTTTCCCAAAAACAACTCGGATCATAGAAGTTCACTTTCCTCCCCAGACAATGGCTCACGTGCCTCGCTCCGCACTCTTCTTGGCAGCGTACTCGGTGCGATGGGCTTCATTGCAGCTGTGTTCCTGATCTGCTTACTGCTATTCAGACACAGGCGGAGGAAATCAGGCGAGGGTCAATGCTTTGGAGGAAACGAAAAGCTTCTAAGGGCCGGCCGGCAATCCGCGGATTCTTCGACTGGCTTACAGTGCGGATATGTTTCTGGAGGGTCTATGCGCTCGCAATACAACTACGCACCAGAACCTCGGATGGGCGCCTATTACCAGGATGATAGTGATCGAGCATCAGCGTGCCATTCGGATCCTTTTTCAGACTCCGCAGAGTTACACGGAGGATTGCGAAACAACATACTTGGAATAGAGGATACAACTCAGCCTCTATTCATGGACCAAAAATATGATCAAAAGCCGGTTATTCCAGGGGCAAGTCTACCGCTTCGATCAGTTTCCGATAGCCTTTTACCGACTGTCCATGCGGGGCGAAGACGGTCCGAATTACCCTCGAGCTCGGAGCATGAATCTATTTATAGCAGTGATCGTAGCTTGGGCAGCACCCTCATTCTTCCTGGGCGAAGCAGTCTAGGCAGCAGTTTGCAGAGATTCAGCTACCGGGTGTCGGCGGCAGAACTTGAACCATGCGGTGCAAACGAACTGGTGACTAAAATTAGCCCCCGCAGTACACGGAGTGACCCGTTTGATCTGGAAGTTCCAGCGAGGGCGGTACACCCAATTGGTTCAGCGACGCAACTAAGACCATAGGTGTAACCTTTGGTGTCATAACCCAGGTGGTCGTCGCCAAGGTCTTCCTAAAGAAGGAATCAGCAGTGAAGCAGTGGGGTGTGTCTCTGCGGCAGTATACGAGATATGTGACACGAGCCATGAACTTCTCTTAGGTTGGCATTGAGGGATACATGAGATGGCTGCATTTGTATTTCTCTTTGATATCATTCGCAGTATACTGTACTTTACCTTTTCTTTCACCTCAGCCCTAAGCTGGGCAAGCGATAATTATGTACGATAACTCCATGATGTAACACTAAAACTGTTCACCATTCATTGCCTTACAGTTTCTGATATCCATTAATTGACTATGACTTCATCGGTGTGCTGGCTGGTAAACCATAGGTCCACGCTAATAGTGAAACACATTTCAAGTTTTACAAAGAGACATGTCTGCTTAGGTTTGGAGAGGGGTGCTGTGTTTAACATATTATTCCATTGAAGGTGGGTTTATATGACCTAATAAATGTTCGATTCTTTTGTTCGTAGGGCCGCAGCGACGGGTTCCAAAAATATATCTTTGTTGAAACTCAAATATCCACTAACTATCAGAAACAAATGAACAAAAACAAAGAGCCTATTTCGATAAATTTCGACGTACAGCGGTTGATAGTTTGCTATTGATGTCGGGGCAGACGGCTTATAGATAGAACGGGGACAAAAAGGAGGGGCAGGAATATTTGCGGTGATATACCCACCGTTGATGGCTATAATCGTACTCCCATCTGCCTTGGAGGGGTCTAGACCTACAGCCGCATGGTGGTTGGCGTGCTGGTGGAGATTTCATGGTTGAGTTGTACGTACGGGTAGACGTGTACCCACGCGGACGGTGTAACTACAGGTACATCACATAGCGATTATGACCTCATGTTGAACACAATTCACATTTACATGACCTAACCCTCGAGTGAGATTCAGTAAAACGTTACGACATTAGGAGATAAGATAGATGCGGTAGAAAACAGCCTGGTTCGGGGAGGTCGAGAGAAAGGGTGGTTGAGGAAGTTTGAGCATCCGGGCGTTTTGGGAGGATTGAAGAGCAGTTGAGGTAGAATGCAGATGAAAAAATCGGAGTATTCGTATCACACAAAGCGCCATGCCATTGTTTTTGCTTTAATCAAATGGTATTTTTCATTCTTTTCCCTGGTTCTCTTTTCAGACGGCCCATGGAAGAAAAGAGATGCATTCATTTCCTTCTGTTTCCCCAAGCCCCCGTTCCAGGATCACCCTTGTACCAAAAACCGTCCCGGATGAAATCAAAGCCATTGAGAGAAAACAGAAATGGTCGACCTAGACTTTTCCTGTAGGCTGACCCAGTCTCTTGATTTCTCCTCCCAGTTCAACCTCCGCACCGCCAAAACACGTTGTCAACGGAAGGGAATTTACTCCTGAGCCTCGCCGATCAGAGCGTTGCGCTTGGCCTCGATACGCTCCTGGCGCCTCTCACGGAGAGCCTTGTTCTTGGCACGCTTGGCATCCATCTCCTCCTTGAGGACACGCTCACGGTGACGCTCAGCCTTGGCCTTTTGGATCTGTTGGAGAATATAAGTCAGTGTTCCGGTCGCCGTATGAAGTATGTGGGAGTCTTGATGACATCGAGGGCTCGCGCATGAGCCCACCGATAAACCGTGATTGAGAAGGGCGGATTGGGCGGAAACTTACGTGCTCAACGAGAGCGCGCTTGTGCTTGAAGGTGTTACCCTTGCTCAGGTGGTAGAGCTCGTGGTAAAGGTGCTTGTCGATCTTGCCAGCAGCACGGTAGCGGACGAGCAGGCGACGGAGAACACGCATGCGGCGCATCCAGAGAATCTGGCTATATTGTACGACATCCCATCAGTCAAAGAGTTCCACCACGGCACATCCCATCACGACATTGATCCCATTGGTCATAGACCAGCCAACCGTCATTCGTCGCGTCCTCCAAGGGAAAGTAGGATAAACTGCATACCTGGGCATACGGGCCTCCTTGGTACCCTTACGCTTACCCAGACCGCGGTTTCTGCCGATTCTGCGGGCGGCGTTGAGCTCACGGGCACGGACGCGGGAGTGCATGGTGACGGGCTTGCGGATGATGAGGCCATCGCTGACGAGCTTACGGATGGTCTGGCGGGAGTTGGCGTTGGAGATCTCATTCATCTCATTGGGGTCGAGCCAAATCTTGCGCTTGCCGCAGCCCACCACGGAGGCGGCGAGGCGCTTCTGGGTGCGAAGGTTGACCCTGTGGATGAAAAACCGTCGGTCAGCATGAAGCCCAAATCGATCGAACAAATTGTTTTTCCAGAGTCCCAGAGGGGCCGTATCGGGGGGCGTAATCAGGGCATGTAAGGCCACCGAAGAGCAGTGATCCCCCAGCAAAGTCACGATATCACGATTTGGAGATGAACTCACATCTTGATGTCGGCGTATCGACGGTCGTTGGCGGATGATGTTCGTTGCACTCGTCGACGGGTGAGAATCCAGAAGTGAGGAGTTTGAAGATACGCCGGCTGATTAGCTCAGCAACTGTGCTCCTAAGCGAGACTGATCCACCTTAGGGCTTGTGCCCCAGATCTTCTAAGCAGCCCCCCCCCCCCCCTTCCCTTCCGTCATGGTACTGCGCATTGGTTGGATGTACCTCTCTGTATGTCCTTTCTGAAATAATAACCTATCGTAGTATTGTTCTCCCGACTCTTCGACAGCATGCTCTTATCTTAACTAATGGAAGGGCGACTGACCTGTGATGCTCGTGGGGGATACACCCATGGTGACCACGTGACCGTGTGTAGGTACGGCGGAGGCTGACCGCCCGATAAGGACCGTCCGTCTATCAGTCTCGATCTATCTGAGCACCGAGCTACTTTACTATACATCCACACCTCAAGAGGAGAAAAGAAAATCATGCATTGGTCACATCGTCGTCGTCGTCATCATCATATCTACTCATCTAGCTTCACTTCTTTTTAGCTTTTGCTTCCCTTTCTCATATTGACAAATATAACCAACCAGTCATCCTCCTGACTGAAAACAATAGCAACCACATACAAATAGGGTATAGATCTAGTTCATGCAACATTGCAGAACAGAACTACTATAACAATCATTCATCCACGGGGCCTTCCTCCAAATCAACCTTTCCGACACTCCACAACTCCTTCTCATCCTCCACCTCGTCGTTGGAGAGACCCAGGCCGCCTTGTCCACCCTCAGCTTCCTTGCGTTCCCGAGATTGACTAGCCAGACGTAGCGCAATTCGTTTGAAGTAGTCCGACATACTCCGCTTTGGTCCTGGAGCAAGCTCTGCTCCCGGCCCAGCCATATACTTATCAAACACAGCACTCTCTGACTCCACGACCGAGAAGATCGCCAAGAAGGCAGCCTCGGCCGCCAGCTTCACGGGAATAACCATGTCGCGAACGCCGGCGAAGATTGGTGGCGCAAGCAGAGCCAGATGGGGCCGGGTCAACTCTGGATGAAGACGGCTGACCGTCCGCATCACAACTAGCGCCAAACGACGTGTGTCGGAGGGTGCGCCTGGCTGAATGCACGGTGCCAAGGCTTCGAAGATAGCCTTGTTATTCTCGAAATTGCGATGCTCGTCGTCGATCAGAAGGTATTTTCCAGCCGCCAGAACACTGTTGTCGGCAATGAAGGTCTTTCGGGTGTTAGAATCTTAGTTTTGTGCGCTGGAATCGTACATTAACTCACATCCTTATTTGTCACGCCCTGACTGATAACCGAGATCGTTTCGGCAGCGAAGTTCTCCGTCAAGGATGCTGGAGAGTCAACAAGCAAGGCGTTGAGCCCCAAGATTGATGCATGCGTCGGGTGTGTCGTAAGCACGCGGTTCCTTGCAATTTCATTAGTTCTGGTGCCTTTCAAGAAAGGTATGGAAGATCAAACATACTTGATAAGAGGGGTGGCAGTGGCTGGAGGGAGAACCTTCACCAGCGCACCAAGCAACTTGGCATTCGTAATGGCCACAGAATCTATCGGATAGTTAGATATGCAACGAACTTTTTGTAGGCTATCGTAAAACCTACCCGTTTGATCGCTAGCGTCGTCATCAATGAGCGCAAGAATAGAATTCTTGGAAGCCTCGTTCATGTTAGCACCGGCCTTGCCAACCACCTCTTGGAGGGCCTTCATCATGGCATTTCTGACGCCAACATCGGCGGTCTTAGTTCCCGTAATAAGCTCTGATCTCTAGGTTAGCACTAACTCGGCATCCACAGTTAAAAGAATAAAACCGTACCGGCAATAAGGGGATCAACTCTTGGCGTCAACGTGATCAGAATTCCAAGACCCTTGGCAGCCCTGTTACGCAAAGTTTCGCTGGTCGTGTCTGCCAAACCTCTAGCAAACGTCCGTTGAAGTTGTGGCAGGAATGGCTTGACAGCAAGAGGGATCTTCGCCAAAAGCTTGTTGAGAGTATAGAAGATAGCGCCTAGTCGGTGAGATTAGTTTGTTGTCAATAACTTACTCCACAGAGAAGCACAAATGACTTACACTTAATATCTACTGATCGCTCAGATACCACTCGAATGAGAGGACCGGTGATCTGCGTCACGAAGAGTTTCAAGGAATCTGCTGCAGTACGATCAATGATGTCACCAATGGCAAGAGCCGCCTGGGTACGCTGCTCAACACTGCCGTTGAGAAGAGCCTGCAGGAAGATCGGCAGGATAGCGGTGATGCCCTTTGGCAAGCTGAAACCAGGAAGATTGGCTCCAGGCACACCCACTCCCCGCAGCACCTGGCGAGTGGGGATGGCCAACACCTCCATTTCCTCTTTACGCATGTGGGATGTTAGGCCACTCAGCGCCGTCCATGCAGCCTTGACCACACCCTTATCGTTGTCATCGAAGGAAATCAGCAAGACGCGAATCAAGTCTTGGTGATATCTAGAGTAGTCGATCGTAGCATCCGAGAAGAACTTGTTCAGGTGAATGGCCGCCTGAGCACGGCGTAAATGGTCATCATGCTTCATCAGCGACAGCATGACATTGATAACAGCGTTTAAGCCATCGAATTCATCTACGGATACCAAGACGGTATCGAATGCGTTGCACAGCTCGTCGCGGAGAGCATCGTCTGTAGATGATATGATGTTGTCCATCAGGGCGTTCAGGATTGTGGGGAGTCTGCGTGTCATCGCAGAGCCTGCCACCTCAGCAAGAGAAGCAAGTGCCTTGGCGTTGAAAGCAGAAATAGGAGAGGTGAGCAATGTCGGAATAAGGTTGGGAAGGATAATGTTGGCCCGTGTTTGTTCAGTAAGAAGAGTCAAAAGGGCCGATAGCGCTTGCTCAGCATCTTCATCATTCCTCAACAGCAGCAGAAGATGGGGCAGAACTTGGTCCACAGCCTTCTTGCCCAGGATTTGCTGCAAGGCGTCGAAAGCTTCTGCAGCAGCTTCACGCACATCCTCATCGTTGTCAACAAGAGCCACCCGAACGGTAGAGATAAGGACCTTCTCGTGATCCTCGAGGGCTTCAGGAGTTGCGGAAGTAATGAGTTCCCGCAAGGCAATGCAAATGCCTTGCTTAACGTCCACATCTGGCGATGTTTGAAGCCCTTCCTCAAGGGAAGGAAGCAGACTCGAGAGAACAGTTTCTCCGGCCTTCTTAATAAGATCTCCAAGTGCATTACTGGCAATGACCTTCTGCTCCATGTTCGAGGATCCAAGACGACGAATAATAAGCTGGGATAGAGTAGGCACCATATCCTTAAGTGTTTTCGGAGACGCAACAAGCGCCTTCCAGACACCCATTGCTGCGCTCTTAACAGACCCGAGGTATCGCAGCGACAGATGAACAAGGCAGATAGAACCCTATTCCTCCTTTCTTCTCCAAGAACCTCCAGTAAGGACTGTCCGGCCTGGTGAGCTTCTTCCTCCTCTTCTTCGCCATCAGCCTTGGCCGTAATACCAGTAATGCTGAAGAGAAGATCACCGACCAGCTCAACTGAGCTCAACCGGATACGGTAACTGTCGTCTGCAAGGCCGCGCTCGAGCTCTGGAAGAAGGAGATCAATAGCCTTGGAAGAGAAATTCTTAACTAGCAAACGACCCGCCTTAAGAGAGGTCTCGCGGATTGACTCAACATCATCTGCCAGACCAGAGAGGATAGGCGGAATAATCTTGCCCAGGTATGTCGCAAAGCTGTTACCGAAACAAGCTGGAAGGAAGATAAAGAGAGTCATGAAACCTTCACGAACAGCTGGTTTGGAGCTGGAGACGTTCTGTAGTATAGTAGGCAGCGTCTCCTCGAGTCTCGTAGTACCTAATCCTGCCAGGACCTCGGAAAGGGCTTGAGCAGATCCCAGTCTATCACCGGCACCGGTGTCGGATTTGAGAGTAGCCATGAGGTTAGGAATGAGGTCGGGAAGGGCATCTTCTCCAAGTTTCTCAATAAGTGATCCAAGTGCCTTAGACGCAGTAGCACGAGTGGTGGGTACAGGATCGATGATAGCCAGTTGCAGTCCAGAGACAATGATTGGCAAGTGCGAGGTGAGATCTTTGCGCTCGGTAAGGTGGGCCAAACTGCCAATAATTTGCGCAGACTTCCGCTTTGTATTCGATCTGTCGCCAAGACCACGCTCCAAAATACGAACAACAAGCGCTAGGGAAGGAGCATCCAGGTAATGGACGAAAGAAACCTTGATGAGAGAGTCCAAAGCCTCGTCCGTATACTTCGTTGGATCGCTCAGAGCCTTCAGAAGCACGCTAACCAAGCTCTTGATCTCTGGGTTACTGATGACCTCACCGAAACGTTGGAGACTCCGGTTTGCAGCATTACGCACTTCCTTGTGGGTATCATTCAGGACAACCGTGAGGGGAGGAATAATATCAGGCAGGCTTGCTGCTAGTTGCTGTGGATCAAGGTAGGCCATCGCACCCAGCAGGTCACAAGCACCCTTTTGACTACGCCATTGGGTATCATCAAGACCGTCAAGAAGGGTAGGAAGGATTTTCTTGACGCCATAAGAACTGAGGTTGGAAAAGCAAGCCTTTGCCGCATCAAGACAAGCGTCACGAACATCAGCATTGGGATCACCAAAGCTAGCCAGAAGCTGCGGAACAATCTGAATAACATATGGTTCAAAAGTGCGGCCCAGGATTGTCGCAAACAGTTCGTAGGCCAATAAAGCACCTTGTCTCTGATGTGGTTCCTTCTTGTTTTCAGTGGCCGCGCGAAGATGGGCCATGATCTGGAACTCTCGCAAAGATAAGACACCCCTTCCACTGACAATACCAGCAAGCCCGTAAGCTGCTCCACGTTGAGTGGCATACTTCTTAGACTGCAAAAGCTGGTCCAGCATCTCTTGCACGTAGCCAGCACTTTGAGAGCCCGACAGTCTAATCAGAGGCGGTAGACAACCAGAAACAGCGGATTGAACAGATTCAGAAGGAGTTGGGAGGGTAGCAAGCAGCCTCTTGATAACAGTTTGCAAACGCGGATCGTCTGCTTTAAGATGCCGGGCCAGAGAGCCATAAAGAACAACCACCGCCTCGTTGAGAAGGTCAGAGGTCTCACTTCCCTTATCTGATGTTTCCAGAGTCGTTTCTAAGATATTCATCAGCTCTTCAACCTTGTGCTGGCCACGCTCGGCGATGACAGATCTGCCGCTCTCAGCCATCTGTGCTCTGACCACGGGGCTTCGGTCAATCAGAGGCCCTCGTTCGATCAAGAATCTAAGGAAAGACACTATCTGCTCGCCCTCAAACCCGTTCGTCATGGCAGTAAAAGCGAGGGCAATACCGCTGCGGAATTCCCAGTGATCGGCCATGTCCATCTTCTTCGGCATCCCATATATATCCTTTTCTGGCTCCTTAGGCTTGGCCTCGCTTTCGTATTTCGATTGCAATTCCGAAAATATTTCATCAAACTTGGTTGGATTGGACTCAAGGGCATGTGCTAACGCACGAGCAGCGGCACCGCGGAGCTGGGAGTCCTTGGAGGCAAGATAAGGGATAATTTTACCGTAGGAAGAGTCATCGACTTCCAGTGCATTATCATCCCAGATTGTCTCGGCTATTTCGGCGTTTTCTTCCACGTGGTCATGATATTCTAGCCAAATGTGTTCAGAGAAGTCTAGGTCGGTCAGGTCAATCTCGGCATCGATGGCCTGCAGTACAGCCGTGCGAACAGATGCATCTGAGACGATGGCACCCTGCAGAAGAACGTCCAGTTCAGCATTGCTGATGGTAGGTGAGATACACCTGCAGAAATCGAACAGAGTATCCTTAACCAATTTATAATGCTGAGTGTACTTTTGCATTGATGTGAGCAAGTGATCTAAAACTTCAGCACGAGGGAGACGTTCGTCGGTAAATGACCCTGAATGGAAGGACAGGAACTCAAGTGCAAGCAGTACTTGTTCACCTTCCTCCTCTCCCTTTTGCTCATCAATTCCGTTTCCACTCAGAACAAGCAGAACAAGTGGAAGGATGTATGCCAGAGACGTGACGTCAAAGGGACGTTGTTCAGATGCAAACCGCAGACGATAAAGAATTCTTGTCACAAGTTGACCGAGGGGCTCTGCATCCATGTCGGGGGAAAGTTGGCTCCTGCCAAGTGCCCGCAGAGTCGCAATGCCCACGGAAGATCGCAATGGGCCCAGACGTGAAGATACCTTCTCCGCACACTTGATATAGGCCCTAGACACAACATCACCTGCAAGTAAGCCTGCACCAGCCTTCACGAGGGACAGCAAAGATCCCACTGCGGTATTAATCCAACCATCCGCCTCAATTGCCGGACCGCTTGCAAGACCCTGCATGATCCCAGCGCCTCTTTCAATCGTTTTAGCTGCCCGCAGAACTTCTTCACGAATCTTGGACTCTTTCGCAAGTTGGGCTTTGACTTTAGATTGCTCATCCGCAGTCAGTTTCTTCTGTTTCTGGCCCTTTTTCTCCGCCAGTTGTGCCCGTAACTCCTCTTCCCACTTGAGAATGCCATAGTCTTTAGTGTTCTTGTCGAAAGCAGGCTTCGACTTGGTGCTGAGGACATCAACAAACATGGTTCCTTCGGGGGTCCGAGCAATGGCAACGTCGGTTGGAGTGAACTTGGACACACGCGAAACATCCAAATCGTCCTTGATCTGAGCCACAAGCCGGGAAACCATAGTATCAGGCGCTACGAAAGCCAACTCGCCGGCTGCGCTCCAGATAGCATCGTCGACTTGAGGAACCCTGGATTGAACTGGGTCATCATGCACCCGTGTCAATTGATTCATAGACTCATCGGGGAATTCACGGACGAGGTTGCCAGGATCGATGCCAGATCGCAGACATAGCGTAATCCATGAGGCATTCGGGATCATCTCAGGACGGCCAATAACGAGGAGCTCAATAAGCTGGTTCTTCATTTCTGAAGAGGCTTTCTCTAGTTCTGGAAGACTTGATACAGGTGAACAAATAGCTTTCGTAACCAAATGAAGGAACTTCAGGCTTTCTGATCCTGCAGAGACTGGCGCAGATTCTTTATCAGAAGTCCTCAAAGAAAGTATCCAGCCCCACAGAGAATCTACCACGATGCGACCGATAAAGCCTACTCGTTTAAGATGAACTTCTGACAGGATGCTAGCGGAACGCTCTCGGAAGTTTGAATGAAGCCCAGGCATGGTGATGGCATAGATAAACGCCTGGCCCCAGGCAATCTTGGCTGCGTCTTCTGCACTCTCAAACTTAGATCCGGACGAAACAGCTGCAAGCGTCCTTGTAACCCATTCGACCTCTCCTTGGGTGGCCAACTTTGAATAAGCTTTTGGGTTGAGAAGTAGAGATGGCTTAGGGCTAAGAGCCATCATTTGGACCGCCAATTCTTCCCACGTGGCCTTATCGAAGCCCTGTACTGAAGATAACCGCTCAGCAAGTGCAAGGAAGATGTAGGCCGTCGATAACGAGCCATTCTGGGCCGACGGCAAGGGGTTAGAAGCCACTTCGTTGAACAGATCCTTCATTTTACTCATGAACTTGGTCACGAACGGCTCAACTTCAGGACTAACTAGTGTCGCTGAATCGGTGTTCCAGAGCAATTCTCCCACATTGAGCTGCCAAAGCTTTCGGAATGGAATTCTTTTCTCTGCAGATCCCTTCACGATGGTGTTTATAACATCATCGTTGACCTTTATCTTGTGTTGGACGAGAAATGCTAGATGTTTGCAGAATGCTTTTATTATCTGTTCCAGCGCAGCTTCGTTAGATTCTCGTGTAAACACAGGAACAAATCCCTGAACCACCTCCTTCGAAATATCAGCGGAAGGCAGAGTAGCTGAGAGTGCCTGAGCATACACGGCGCGCTGCTCGGGGTTTGTAATTTTCTGAGTCTTCAAGGGACCAACAACTTCAGTTGTGACTTTAAGAAGCACGCTCTCAGTTTTCGATCTTGAGAGCAATGACTCGAACGACTGAACAGCACCCTGTCTTATGGCTGCATTGTTTGACTTCATACTGGAAAGGAGGTGCTTCAACAGCTTTGAATGCAGAATCTCTGATAAGTCCATCTGTTCGGGTAGCGACGAGCATAATGAAGGTACCAGTCCGCCGAGAACCACCTCCGGGGAACGCAAAATGGCTTTTTCGAGAGGGGGTATTATTTCGGATGTCACATCCTCGTAGGAAACGAAAGAGACGAAGAAGTCGGACAGAGCATCTGCGATGTGAGCTGGTGGTGCGGTTTTCGACCCGATTAATTCTTTGACATAGAAATTGATAATCAACTTCTTTTCTTCTTCTAAGACAGGTTTCTTGGCCGGAAGGCGGGCGCACACGCCGGAGATGACTCCCAGGAAGGGGGCATTCCTCTGTCCCGAAGTAGAATCGCTTGTCAATCGACGAGTAGACTGACGGACGGCATCCTCGCCACAAGTTCCCGACGAGAAAACGGCTCGCAGCGCACGTCTCGTGACTCTAAGGGCCGACTGCTTCAATGGAAGCTTGGGGTTAGAGGCCAAACAAGTCTCAAGTACCTTCGCATCCGCCGCGATAATGTCTAATATAGCCGAAAGCGGTGTTTCAGGATCATTGCTTAGAGCCTGTAAGATAACCGAGCACCATTCCAGCAGCACGAGCGCAGAGGCAGATGACAATGTAAGTTTGGACGCCTCAGCTTGCAGCTTCTGTGTGAGATATTTTAGGTCGTCGGTCGGGACCGGGGACTTGAGAAGCGAGCGGAGACACTGCTGGACGGCTTGACGGGAGGGGCGGTCGACATAACGAGGATAGGTCTTGAAGAGAAGCCCAAGGAGAGGCTCACGGGCTTGTTGTGGGAGATCTGACCCTACCGAGTGAAGGCTTAGCGAGGGATCATACGAGAGGGGTTGCTTGGGGCCAACTTACCGATTCTCTCGCGGAGTTCCTGGAGAGCACGAATTCTGCGAGATGTCGAACTCGAAAAGAGAACGACCAACAGGCTCTCCAGGTCTCCAGATTTTACCTGATCCCATGGAAAGTCGTCCATGTTAGGAGCCCTGGGGCATGTCGGGGTGGGGGATGTTGTTTAGAATCCACGGGGAGGTAATGGAATTGAGTTGAATTGTCTTTCGCTGCCGCCGATGTTGTCATAAAAGTTTTCGGCGTGGTTTTATTGTGGGGAAATCGTCCAAAGCTCCAGTTGATGACCACCATTTAATTCCCACACTCTCTTAATGTTGCATTCCACTAACATTCCCTCGCCCGTTGAATAGACTAATATCTTTTAGAGATCTCTACCTTTCTCCTATTCTAACAAAAACTCGAGATCATCTATTAACCCCCATCTTTCTCTCCCAACAGTGGCCAAGACCATTTCCCCTCCCCGCAACTATGGCGCCTAACAATAAGAAAAAGAAGAAGCCCGCCGCAAACCCAGCTCGAGGGTTTGCAACCGTTTCGGTGCCTTCCAAGCCTAAATCGACTAACAACTCCACAGCTCCGGCGTCGACAGCAGAATCCAAATCGGTCTCAGAGAGTGAACGACCAACCCCAGCGGAAAGCAGCCGACCTGCGCCGGAAACACAGAACGCTCCATCCTTACAGAATTACTCACCCGAGGAACTTGAGAAACACCTTGAGGATGCGGAGCTGCAAATACTGGTTGAGAAATATGCCTCTAAATGCAAGAACGATGCGGTCCGTCAAGTTTCGAAATTGGAAACAGAACGACGGGTACTCCGGCAGCAAGCCTTCTCGTTAAGTCTTTTAGAGTGGTTTCCTGCTGAAGTGCTGGACTCGATTCTTAAAGTTGCCGAGACAGAAGAACATGAATTGAGCCCATCCTCGGTGCGGGATTCGAATACAGTGAAAAAGTCTGGCTCAGAAGAAGACCTGTACATGAAATTGTGGACGCTAAGAGAGACCCTTCTGAAGCTCGGCTTTCCCGAGAAGAAAGTAGAGGATTCATTAAAACATCTCTTACACTATTTTTCTGGTAATTTTGCCACTGCCAATAGGGACATGGTGTGTAATCTGGACGAGGCTCTAGACTGGCTGGCAATGCACTGCACCCCTAAGGAACTACCGTCTTACACGCAAACCAATGCTCAGCTGCGCAAAGATGAAAAGAATCTTTCCTGGATAACCGGTAAACCTAAAATAATGACTAGCATCTACGCAGTGACTGAAGAGAGCTAACCGGCATCAGATCGTGAGCCAGCACAATCTTCTACTTTAAACTTGACCCAGAATGATAGCAAAGTGAAACAGGCCAAAAGACCGTCAAAAGAACCTCTTCCTCCTATATCGAGCCCTTATGATTCTGATAGTTCTCTGGATCCTGACACTTTGCTGCCAAAGTACTTGGAATTGCAGACTCAGCTATATAATCTTCAGCCTGAAATATTTGATAAGCCTAAGAAAGGGAAAAAGCCTGCTCGTGAAAATATTGGGCTTGATAGCAACGAACCCCGAGTAGCGAAGATTCGCCGAAAGATTACCGGCATTGAAAACGATGTCCTTTTCGACCGCATAGAAGCTGAGTACCGGTGGAAAGAGAAGCTTGATGATCTAAGAAAGGAGGCGGCTTTCTTCAGGCAGAATCAGCCCACCGAGCAAACTTCTCTGGACGAGCCCGGAACCAAGGATCAACCAGAGGAAAAGGTAGCGGAAGTCAAGCCCGACGTCGATGACGAGGAGATCGCAGGTCTCTTAGGAGACATGTTCCAAGCCGAGGAGCCAGCCTTGGAGACAGGTGTTATACTTGAAGAGTTGAACAAAGCCGCTATCACGATCCGTGACTTTGGAAAATGGACTGGGCTTAGCCCTCGACGAGTTTTGGAAGAAACATGCAAGGCAAGGTATGCAAAGGTCTTCCATGGATGAGAATAGGCTATGCTGACAGTAGCGGCACATCTTAGGGATACCAGTTGCACAATCATTTTCAAGGATTTCTCCTCTGCATCGCACTCGAACAGAAAAGCGGTAGAGGTGAGGTGGTCCAAAGCACAGGATGTACCATTTCTGTTTGAATGGGACAAGGTCACACACAAATCTAGCGCTTATGCCACCTTTGTCTCCATGGACACAATTGCCACACCAACTGCACAGCAAGCGGAGGCATTTGTCTCGACGTTTGCCCTTTTTGTCCTATTTACACAGAACTCGAAGGAGGGCAAGGCTTATATGCGGCTTCCAGCAGTGTGGAGGGAGCTCTGGACAGAGTTCGCGAATGCAAAAAAGCTCCAAGAGGATGAAATTGATAAGAAGACAATAAAACATCTGAAGAAGCTAATACAGGAGAACCAGGGTAACTTTGAAGATGATGTGGTACTATCAGATAATTTCCGGAGACGAAATGGGACCTCTAGCAAGGCAGAGTCTCCAGCCAGGTCATCCAATGCAAGGGAAGCTTCAGGCCCCGAGTCTCAATTGCAAAGGATTTGGATGGAGAAGTCATCCACTCCTTCTTTTAACAATATGGTGCAAGGAAGAATGAATCTTCCGATCTGGGCTTTCAAGAACGATATACTGAACACACTTGATACACACCGTGCGCTCATTATTTGTAGTGAGACCGGTAGCGGAAAGAGCACGCAGATACCTTCATTTATCCTTGAACATGAGATGACACAAGGCCGTCCCTGTAAGATCTATGTGACGGAGCCCCGGAGGATCTCTGCTATATCATTAGCGCGAAGAGTTAGCGAAGAATTGGGGGAAAGCAAGAGTGATGTTGGGACAGCCCGCTCGCTCATCGGATTTGCTGTAAGATTAGAGAGCAAAGTCAGCCAGTCGACAAGACTAGTATTTGCGTAGGTTCACCATCTACAACTCATCGCTGGAGATTATACTGACTAGGACTAGGACAACTGGTGTTGTGGTGCGTATGCTCGAACGTCCAGACGATTTCCAAGATATCACGCATGTCGTTCTTGATGAGGTTCACGAACGTTCTATCGACAGCGACTTCCTTCTCATAGTCCTTCGTCGACTAATGCAGAGGCGTCCCGACCTAAAATTGATTCTAATGTCGGCTACCCTTGAAGCTCAAAGGTTCTCTAATTACCTCGGTGGCGTGCCTGTTCTTAATATCCCGGGACGAACTTTCCCTGTGGAGATGAAGTTCTTAGAGGATGCCGTGGAGATGACCAATTACCGCCTATCAGAAAATGATTCGAATACTAATCTCGATGAAGATACCGATGAGATGGCGCCAGAGAACACCGAAGGTGATACAACGGGAGGCATACTAGCATCGCTTGAAAGTTATTCTAAACAGACCAGGGATACTGTTTTGAACTTTGATGAATACCGCCTTGATTATCAGCTTATAAAGAAATTACTTATTAAGATTGCTACAGCGCCGGAGATGACAAACTACAGCAAAGCTATATTGGTCTTTATGCCTGGCATGGCGGAAATCCGCCGCCTGAATGATGAGATTCTCTCGGAACCGATCTTCCAACAGGGATGGATCGTTCATGCGCTGCATTCTTCTATTTCCAGTGAGGACCAGGAGAAGGCATTCATTGTTCCCCCAGAAGGCATTAGAAAGATCGTAATTGCCACCAATATCGCCGAGACCGGTACGTCTCCCGCTATTGTGAAGAAGTAGTTGTCTGCCACAGGCTGTTGACTTGACTAGGTATCACTATCCCGGATATCACTGCCGTCATTGACACGGGTAAGGAGAAAACTATGCGGTAAGTCTTTCTTTGATCTCCTATCTGTATCTTGCTGACTGATATTGTGACAGCTTCGATGAGAAACGCCAGCTCTCAAGATTAGTTGAAGCCTTTATCTCGAGGGCTAATGCGAAACAAAGACGGGGAAGAGCTGGGCGTGTTCAGAATGGAATTTGTTTTCACATGTTCACGAAGCACAGACATGAAAAATTGGTATGCTGACTATGCTGAGTTACGCAGAAGATAATTCTCTAACATTGTGTAGCTCGCTGAACAACAAACGCCAGAGATGCTTCGTCTTTCTTTGCAAGATCTGGTACTACGGGTGAAGATCTGCAAGCTCGGCGAAGTGGAATCCACTCTTCTTGAAGCCCTAGACGCACCTTCTTCCAAGAACATTCGCCGCGCTATAGACTCTCTCAAGGAGGTCAAAGCTTTGACAAATTCAGAGAACTTGACTCCATTGGGAATGCAGCTTGCCAAGCTGCCGTTGGACGTCTTTCTTGGAAAATTAATCATTCACGGTGCCTTCTTCAAGTGTCTAGATGCCTCGATTAGTATCGCAGCCGTTCTCTCTTCAAAATCACCCTTTGTTAATACCATGGGATCCAACACACAGAAGGATCTTGCAAGGCTTTCGTTCAAGAAAGGTATTACCTATCTTAGTCGGTCCTATATCCACATGCTGAATTTTCGCAGGCGACTCTGATTTATTGACCGTGTACAATGCATACTGCGCCTGGAAACGCACGAGAAACACCCCCGGCGCTAACGAGTATGCTTTTTGTCGGAAAAACTTCCTCAGCTCCCAGACATTGTTAAACATTGAAGATATCAAGATGCAGCTTGTTGTGTCTATCGCTGACGCAGGACTTTTGACTTTGGACCCAAGCCAGAAAACGGCTCTGAACAGGTACATCACATATCGCGCCAATCACGCCTTTCCTGCACTACCTTTATTTCTTGATCGCAGAGCTAACATACATGCAGAGCTCGATACGGCGGTCGTCAGCGTCAATTTTTTACCATTCCTGAAGAGTACGATATCAACAGCAGCAACGACGCTATTGTCAATGCAGTTATTGCTTGGAGCTTCTACCCCAAGCTCCTGACCCGCGAGGGCAAAGGCTGGCGGAACGTTGCCAACAACCAATCTGTTACCCTTCACCCGACCTCGGTCAACAAACAAGCCGATGCATCCATGAAGTGGCTGTCGTACTATCACATCATGCAGGGACGAAACCGGAATTACAACGCTTTCGAGACGAACGCCGTGGACGACTTTGCCATAGCGCTGTTGTGCGGCGAGGCGGAATTCAAGGTAAGTTGAGCTTCTGGAAAGGGTTAACATGGGAACTTGGCATCTGACCAAAGCATAGATGTATTCCGGTGTGGTCTCAATTGACGCCAATCGAATCCGCTTCGCGGTTCGAGACTGGAAGTCCATGCTCGCGTTGAAAATCCTTAGCGCTCGCATTCGCGACATCTTATCTGGGACATTCCGAGATCCACAGAAAAAGTTGTCCTACAAGCAGCAGCAGTGGGTCCATATCTGGCAGCAGATATTTTCGCAGGCGGGGAAATGAAGCGCGTCGGCGCTATGAAGGAATGAATGAAATGTGTTGGGATGGACCAAGGGGGTCTATGTTTTGTTCTTTGTAGATAATGAACATACCATGCATTGCATTAGACTCAGTAATTGGACGCATACACGGCAATGGCTCAGGGATAGACAAAAGTATACAAGAATTGTTTGCATACATTTCCAGTAAGAATCATCTATTGAACTCCTATAGTCTAATTGTATCGCACTGACCAGTCCAGAGACTAGCAACGATTAGATCAAAATACATTAACAAGTATCATCTTCAGTTTCCATTAAATTAAGATGCAAAAATACATCACAAATAAGAGAAAATTTGAAACTCCCCCCAATACCCCATACTCAACATAGCCAAATCTGTAAACGCCGCGCGCAGTTTCCAACTTAGGAAACCCATTCACTCAACTCGAGATCATCCAAATTCACCCTCGAGACCCCCTTTTTCCCACCATGAACTCAAGGACCGCTATCGTTAACATCCTCATCCACCCTCTTTGTCCCCGCAAGCTACACAAACTGTGACCCAAGAGCAAAAAACCCCCAACAGCCCACCATCAATACCATCAAACAATGACCACCAAACCAATCAACAACAATAACCAAGAGAAAAGCCAAAAGCAAGAGAAAGAAGAAGAAGAAGAAGAAGAAGAAGAGGAGGAGGAGGAAGAAGAAGTAACAACAATGACCAGCTCAGCAACTCCCTCCCCAGACTACGACAAAGAACTCCGAATCGCATCCCTAGCCGTCCACCGCGCCAGCATCCTCACCAAAATCGTCCAAAGAGACCTCGACACAGGCCCCCTCTGCAAACCCGACGGTTCGCCCGTGACCGTCGCCGATTTCGCGGCCCAAGCGATCCTCGTCAGCGCTCTCCGTCATCACTTCCCGGATGATGTGTTTGTGGGCGAGGAGTCTGCGTCTGTGCTTCGTGGTGATCCCCTGCTTGCGCGGCGGGTGTGGGACCTTGTGTCTACGATGACGTGGGTTGAGAATGATGATGATGATGATGATGATCGGGCTTTGGTCGCGGGGCCACAATCTATAGGGGAGATGCTGGGTGCAATCGATGCTGCGGGCAGTGGGGATGGAGCTGGGGGTCGGCGGACCTGGTTTCTCGACCCGATTGATGGGACGGCGACGTTTATACGAGGCCAGCAGTATGCGGTGTCCGTGGCGCTGGTGGAGGATGGGGAGCAGAAGGTCGGTGTGGTCGGGTGTCCGAATCTGGCGTTCAAGAGCACTTCTGTCCATGAGGAGGTTGTCGATAGAGATGGGTATGGGATGATGCTATTCGCTGTCAGGGGTCAGGGTGCGTACAAGAGACGGATGAGCCTGTCTAGTTTGGGGCCTCTGCAGAGGATTTTCCTGAGCCCGTGGCAAAGAATGGGGGAGAGAATCACGTTTACTGAAAGCTCGACCAGTGGTGTTATCCATCAGGAGAAGCACAAGTTCATCAGGGACATACTATTCGCCAATCCGGTGGTAGACCTTTACTCTATGCAAGTCAAGTATGCGGCCTTAGCAATTGGTGCATGCAACGCGATGATTCGCCTTCCCAAGGACAAGGACCACCGGTTCCCTGCATGGGACCATGCCGGGGGAATGCTCATCTTCGAGGAATCCGGCGGCAAGGTTACCGACCTATATGGCCGACCTTTTAACTATGCTCTTGGGAGAAGCTTGGCTGACAATGAGGGCTTGGTGGCAGCTAAACCAGTGCTTCACACCGACCTTTTGCGCTATACACGATATGTTTATGGGAGAAACAAGTCTAAGCGGTGCATCAAACCAACGTGAAAATAGGGGATTGGGCAGATGTACAGTGCGTTTTCACGCCATGGTTGTATCAGTGCATGGCACCCTCGCAGCGACAGAAGTCATTTACTGGAAAAAGTGAACCCTTGAAACCCGATAGTATTTTTTTTTTCGAATAAACCCATACATAAAACACAAACAAAACCCAGGGCCTACTGGCCCTTGATGCATGAATGGAGAACGAGCCGCAACAGTATAAAAACTCGTGAAAGGAAATTCGTCTCATCATGGTCGTTAAATATAGCCTGTCGGAAAATCGAAATAGCACAAGATGACCAGAAGCACCGTAACGCTAACCAACCCTCATCCATAGAGAAAGCGAGAAAAGCAGGCCGGCGAAATTCCAACACTGCAACGACAACCCAAAACGCACGCCCCTTTTGTGGCCGAAAGGGGACAAACTCAGACATTATAACGATCGTAGCCAGACATCCATACCGTTTTCACAGTGTTATGTCCCATCTCTAACAATTACCCAACATAAACACGCTGAAAAGAAACGGCTCGACAACATAACGTAGCATGTTCCCTGAATGCAGATGTGTTGTAACAAACTGCCGAGAGAAACCAACCATCCCGTATGAAAGTGCCGAGTCGTACGAATGTGTAGTCTATTCAAGATAAAAGGAAAATAAAAACCCTGTAATGCATTTGAACAACACAAGGGATTCAGAGGTGACCCTTCACGGTCAGAAAGGAGTATCATCGTCTTTCTGTGTTTTTGTTACCTTTTTTCCCCCCTTTAATTTGGTCCTCTGAAGCCCGTGGAATCGTGGGAGATACCACTTGAAGACCCTATCGACGGCGAGACATAACTCCACCGGCCTTCATCGGCTGTAATCCAAGTGGTACTCCTCCAACAGGACCACCAACCGTCGCTTCAGTCAAAGTCTTTCGGCGCTTACTCTCATATTCTGCGCCCCGACTGTCTGGCCGAACTATTTGGTCAACATCGTCATCCTCCCGCAAGCGCTTTCCTGACCCCAGGGGTCCGTTCATCCCCGTGGAGTACCCGGGTGCTGGGTTGGACGCCACGGAATAATTATCAGTCGTTCCGTTCGCCGATGCACCGCGAGTTTCGCTGACACTGCTGTAGAGACTGCTAACGGCAGCTGTTCGGGGAGGCGTACTGTATCCCGAGGCCCATTGGGGAGGCGCTCCGCTTGTACGGGGGGTCATGCGTCCGGACCCGTTCTGTTGTGAAGGGGAGCCAGACATATCAGACGCGAGTTGAGAATGATCACCTGCCAAACTTCCAACAGAAGGGTTGGTAGTGTATGTGTAAGATCCGCGGTTGGTGTTATAGCCTGCACTATCATGCTGCACGTACTCGGGTTCATGCTCGGTGACAGGCTCACCGGCTCCGCTGCCAACATGCCCATTAGCCTGGGAGTAGCGGTCAGGCTTCACGTCAGCCTGCTCTACGTCCGGCGGTCCTCCTGAAGCCCTTCCCGTTGGAGGCGCCATGTCGTTCTTAATATACGTGTTGGCGGGGATAGCCTGGCCGTAAGGAGCCATGGGTTGGGCCAAGGGTTGCTGGGGCGCATATTGGGGGTGGGATGGAGGAGCGGCTGAGTAGTACGATTTCGAGCTATCGTATCCGGACTGACTCTGATATTGTTGCATCCCTTGCATATTACTGCCTGGGGGAGTCGTGGCTGGAGTTGTAGGCATCGACCGTGCATTACTCAATGTCGTGTCGATCGATAGAGGTTGTGTGTTTGGGACACCGGAGTTCATTCCTTGGTTCCCCCATTCATAAGAGCTCCCCTGGTTAGTGATACCCATGAGACTGGATGCACTAGCAGGCGGGGTCGGGAACGTGTGGGCGCGATCAAGACCAGGCCTGGCAGCAGACTGGGATGTCATTGCATGAGGCTGAGACATGTGTGATGGAACCGGTGTTTGTAGCGAGTGATGATGATGCAAGGCAGGGGGTTGTGGGCCCTGTGAAGCCCGCGTGGCTTGAGGACCTTCTAACCGCCGTTGCTGTGACTCTTGCACAACCATGTTCGTCCGGGTTTGGTTAGTGGGGTGGTACAGAAGACCCCCAATATTGTGCACAAACAAGGGGTATAAAAGGTCTGTGATCTTCTCTTTGTTGGCAAACTCCAAGGCACGCTCAAATGGGATCCTGAAACGCTAGTTAGACTGATATAACGAAGAATGACGCTGAGTGACAATCATACCAAACTCCCTTCAGGTGCATTGGGCCAATCTTGACTACATGGCGTATCTTCTCGCTCTTCAGTATCCCGTCGCGGCGACCTCTAGTCATCCCAGCCACGTTGAGCAATTTGGTCCCGTTTATCATATGATTGTCTACATACTGTCAGCATATGGTGTTTGGGAATACGAAGGCATCGATTGGAATATTCACCTTCTCGGCGGGCAACACAAACGCCTCTAGCTTCAACCTGGTAGCAAAGACTGCCCTCGTCCTCCCACAAGGTGGCTGTGACCCGTGGTTTGGCACCGGGCGGAGCTATTTGACCTGTAGCATCGTACACGTAGCCTTGCATAGGCGTTCCGGTATTGTTTCCGTAGCCCGGCGGTGCAACTGTGTGGCTGGTGACTAATGAGAAGGCATTAGTACTTTACTGTAACAGGAATATCTTGGCAGGGGCCTACCTGGCAATGGTAACAGCTGAGCTGGGACCTGGCTGCTCACTGATGTTGTCGGGGGCTGGGGGCCAGGTTGGGATGAAGTGACACCGCCAGGATAACCATATTGAGAATATGAACTGGCAGGGCCATAGTTAGTCGACGCCGGCTGCAATACAGGCGGTTGCTGATGATATTGGGGGTAATGGGCGATTCCACCAGCAGTCGCTGCCTGAGAAGCATAGGGCTGTGCCGATGACAGATGCGATGAGTGAACATCCATGTATGGTTGTGTATGGTTCATGCTGCCAATTGCAGTCGGGTTGGGATAGTAGCTATCACCCACGGTGTTTTGTGGGATGGAATACTCCTGTGGAGCGGAAGAATCCAGGGAGAGCCGGCCCTGACCACCAGCCGCTAAGTCCGCAGACTGCGGGGGGCTCCTAGCCTCGTTGATGACAGGTGCGGTTCCCGATAGACTTGTCCGGGCACTCGCGTTATGGGATGCCGAGGCCTCTTCGTAGCTGGTCCGGTAGGACTGGCCCGAGATTGGCGGCTGCGAGGCCGTCGGTAAACTGAGAGCCGGGAGTTTGTCACCAGACAATAAAGGTCTCTCGGCAGCGTGGTGATTATACCAAGGAATATCAACAGGACCTCTGGTGTGGACCTGGGAAATCGACGGCAGCTCCAGCTTTTCGGTTTGTCGGGGTAACGGTTCTAATAAACGAAGTGATTCGAAATTTTTGGCCGTTGGAATCTATGCGTCCAACGTGCCACTGATAGTTTTCTTTTCTTTTTTTTTTACCTTTTTCTTTGTCGTCGTGGTTCCGGTCAGATCACGGAAGTGCGAGTCGTCGACATGCAAGTGATGCGACTAGTTAATTCGTCAAGTACAAAGGAAACCAATATCGATGGTAGCACCGAATTTAGAGCGAATGCAGATATGTCGTCAGGGAATAATGAATAGCTTCAACAAATGCGGGAAATGCAAAGTGCAATCGTGGTAAGCTCGTTGGAAATCGTAACCGTAAAACGCTTCAAGATCGCTGGCGTAACTGGGCCGAGAAAATCGCTATGCAGCGTAAACGGACAGAAATCTACATCCAATTATGTACGAAGATTGGAGTGATCAGACGCAAAACGATGAAAGCCAGGCAAAATAACGCGCTTGCGGCTGGACAACAGAAATCGCTCAACCAAATCAGAAGCACGAAATCATGGGTCTCGTATCAAGTCGTAAGAAGAGCGCGGGGAAGGGCGACGTGACAGTCCAGCATCAAACGTCGAATTCTTCTCTGATGACTTTGACGTAGTTTCGTACTCTCGATGAACAAAACACGCACAAGTAGGCAAAGTGCTCGCTTTTCTTATTCTTGTTGCAACGAACAGAGGGAACAAGCTCGTAGCGATTCGTAACAGGTCGTAGCAGGTCGTCGAAGATAACGTGCTGCTTCAAGGTGAACAAGGGCACAGTCTAGATAAAACAAATACAACAAAAGTAAGCAGGGCATTCAAGTCATCACAACAGTCGTGTCGAACAAGAATATAAAAATGAAGAAGAGACGGTGATCGTAGCAAGAGAAAATCCCAAGTGGAACGTCGGGAGGATGTATAAAAGGTGTCAAATGAAAGGGATGCTGCACTAACGAGGCGGACAAGGGAGACTGGTACCGTGGACAGGGAGAAAATCAAAAAATAGAAATTCAAAATTCAAAATTCAAAATTCAGATCAAGAAATACGTAAAAAAAAATAAAAGGCAAAAATTCCTAGACACTCCCGGCGTGGACGATCATGCAGTCTCAGGCGGCGGTGGAGGAAAGAAAAGAATGATTGCAATGCAGCAGCAGATCATACACGAAAGGTGGAGGAGGCTGGGGGCGTACAGCAAACGCAGGACCCAACTAAGCCTAATCCTTCCAAGTCTCTCTGCAGCCGCCGAATGGATTGACTGATTCTGGACCACAACCCGGAACGGAGCCTTTTGAGACACACACACAAGTCTATAGATAGAGAGGCGAAGAGCAAGTGTAGGAAGGGGGAGAAGAGTGAGAAAAAAAATAAAATAAAAAAGTATGGCAGGCAAGTAATATGGAAAAAGAAAAGGAAATTTGAAAACGAGATGAGATGGTTACCAACTTTTTTTTCTCTCTTTTTTCAATTGATCCTTGTGTTGTAAGATCGGGGAGGATGGAGCTGAACTGGGAGAATGGGATCAGAGGGAGCTCTCATCCATGGGCAGCGAATAAACGGATAACGGATGGGGTCGAAGAGGGGAAAGGTTGGACGTGACGGGGCGAGGAATTTGGGTCGGGAGGGGAAAGAAGTGGGAAAGAGCAAAAAAAGAAAAGAAAACGA